TTCCAACACCGTGGAAGAGGAAACTAGTGATTTCAAGTTGCGCGATATCAGTTTACAATTCCCTCTTGGAGAGCTCTCTGTGATTTCTGGTCCAGCAGGTGCAGGAAAGAGCTTACTGCTATTAGCCACGATCGGCGAGGCAGATCTGCTTGATGGACAGATCGTCTTTCCACAGAGACACTCACCACTTGCCTATGATGGACCGAGCAATGAGTGGACAATTGATAAATCAATTGCGTTTGTTCCGCAGAATCCTTGGATCGAGAATGGAACCGTTCGAGAAAACATTCTTTTCGGCCTCCCGCTGAATTCGGAACGATACCGCGATGTTCTGCACGCATGCTGTCTTAAAGATGACTTGGATTCTATGCAAGATGGTGACCAAACCGATCTTGGTGCTAACGGCGTCAATCTAAGCGGCGGCCAAAAATGGCGTGTTGCTCTAGCCAGAGCTCTTTACAGCCATGCTGGAGTCCTTGTCCTCGACGATATTTTCAGCGCGGTGGATGCTCGCGTCGGCCACCATCTCTTCGAGAAAGCTTTAACAGGAAGCTTAACAAAAGGGAGAACGAGAATCGTGGCTACGCACCATACCGGCCTGTGTTGGAGTAAGATGAAGTATTACATAGTGCTCGAGAATGGGCGTGTCTCTTTTGCTGGCAAGCCTGAGAATTACTGCCCAGACTTATGTTCCAGTAACGCTGACTCTATCCAACGTGTCAATACTGCTGACTCTGTTGCGCAGCAGGGTCATATAGTCCCTGTATCCAATAGCCTGGCTGTGCCACAGCAGAATCCATCTGAGAGGGATATCAAAGGTAGGGCTTTTTACGAAGCCGAGACACGGGCGACAGGTGCCGTGAAACTGTCAATTTATAGCATATATATGCAGGCTTGCGGTGGCTACCTGTATTGGATTCCAATTGCACTGACCTTCGGCTTTACTCTTGTGGCGGAATTAGCAATCCCATATTGGGTGTCAGTTTGGACGAGAGATCTTGCAAACACACAGCCAGATATCGAAGTGAATATCCAGTCGTCCAACGACCTCTCTGCGCATTCAGGTCGACAGTCCGCTGGTACCCGTCTCTGGCTGTACCTAGGCGTGTACGTCGGTCTTTTTCTAATGTCAATCCTAACTGAGATTCTTCGCTACCGACTTGTCTTTATGGCGTCAATTCGAGGGTCGCTTGCTATCTTCGAGAAATTTTTGCTCAGAGTTTTACACGCTCCTCTAAGCTTTTTGGATACAACACCCGTGGGTCAGATCCTCAACCGCTTCAGCGCTGACTTCAGCACACTAGATTCTGATCTGGCACTGGATCTGCCCAATATGCTGCATGGTGTTTTAATGCTTCTTAGTGTTATTATCGCGGCACTTTTTATCTCGCCACTTATGGTGGGCTTCGGTTTCATTTCGCTCTTTCTGTCTTGGTATATCGCCTCGCTGTATGTCACAGCGGCTAGAGATGCTAAAAGGATAGAGAGCAATGCTAGGTCTCCTATCTTCGAGCAGTTTGGATCGATCATTGACGGTCTAGTCACGATCAGAGCTTTTGACAAAGTTGGTCAATATATGCATCGTATGTATAACACGATGGACGCGCATTGCCAAGCTCTATGGCATTTGCGTCTTTTCAACTGTTGGATGATGTTCCGTCTGAACATGATCGGAGCTTTGGTTTGTTTACCCCAAACTTTTGATTGCACCGTACAAGTTGAATACTAACATGCATTTCCTCATCTAGTATGTGACTATGACAGCAGCACTGATCGCAACCCTTAAAGGCGTTGATGCGTCCGTGGCAGGGTTTGCTCTCAGTTTCGCTTTACAGATGTCTGAGGTCGTCGCTTGGGTATTGTCGGAATACGCTGAGCTCGAGCTGGACTTCAATGCTGTTGAGCGCATTGTAGAATACACTCAAATCGAGACAGAGCACCAAGGTGGCATGGATGCTCCAGCTGGATGGCCTTCAAAAGGCGAGATTGAGGCGAATGATCTTGTCGTTGGATACGCACGAGACTTGCCACCTGTTTTACGTGGGTTGAGCTTCTTAATTAACCCTAACGAGCACATCGGCATCGTCGGACGTACTGGCTCTGGCAAATCATCACTGACACTCGCACTTCTGCGCTTCCTCGAGGCACGGTCCGGATCTTTACACATTGATGGAATGGATATTTCTAAGCTGAGACTCCGCGCTCTCCGCTCGAAGATAGCAATTATCCCACAGGACCCGGTTATCTTCTCAGGAACCCTGCGATCGGTCCTCGACCCGTTTAACCAGTATACAGACTCTGAGCTCCTCGCCGCTTTAGCGAAAGTCCATCTCAGACCCTCTATGGACGATGAACAGAGCTCGGAGCTAGAAGGAACAGAGGATGATTGTAGTAACACTGCATTATCTCTTTCCTCGCCAATCTCCGAGCGGGGCAAGAATCTGTCCCAGGGCCAACGTCAACTAGTGTGTCTAGCTCAGGCTTTGCTCTCCCGCCCGAAGATCCTCATAATGGACGAGGCAACTTCTTCCATTGATATGAGCACGGATGCGCTGATCCAGCAGACTATTCGTCAAGAATTCCGTGACTCTACTCTCATGGTCATTGCTCACCGACTGTCCACTGTGGTGGACTTTGACCGAATCATGGTCTTGGGAGAAGGGAGGATAGCCGAGTTTGATACACCGGCTGCTTTACTGAGAAATGAAGGGGGCCCGTTCTGGACCTTAATCGACAAGAGCGGGGAGAGGGATTCGTTGCGTCGTAGCATTCTGCTGGGTGAGAGGCAAGCATAGTCAGATGGTTGCAAACTGATCTTGCATCTGCCGAATACCTTGTGTTCATGTGTATTTGAGTGTCTAGAATTTTGCTTTATTTAGCTTATATTGTTTTTCATTGTGATAGAGTATACGGAGGAATGTCATGCAGCCCAATAAAAGCGATTCTTTTTCGAAGTCCATAACAATCTAGGCCTTAATTCGGTACAATCATTGAGGTGGTGGCTGGTCTCCCGTAGATATTGGTGCCGACGGGGTAAGTTTCCAGTTGGTAGATTAATATGTCAACCATGATATACCATATGCCAAAGAGGAATAGTTGACGATCATTCAAATTGCAGATGTTCTGAGTCATGTCATATTCAGGAGGCAATCTCTAAACAGATCGACATGGATGATGCTGTTTCTGGCCCGCTAGATGCCGGGTCCGTAGACAGAAATGCAGTGGCTGACGGGAAGGTCCAGTCAGAAGAGATGTAAATGCCGATGGGCGGAGGGAAAGAGATGCGAGCATTACTTAGTACTAGCTGGAGCTAATGAAGATCATACGGCATGGCTCTGGTAGTATGTATTGAGTAAGTATTGTATGGATAACTAACGGTTGCAATGGTTCATAAATTACGGTCGGGGGGAATCGGAAAGCCGAGAAAGTATATTATTCTGGGTGTGAACTTGTCATATTACTTGAATCGTTGGTTCCAGACCTAAAATGAGGTCAGATGCGCCGTGACGTATTTTTGGAAATTTTGACAATTTCCCCTTGACCTTTTTTTTTTTTTTTTTTTTTTTTTTTTTCTCTCTTCCGTTCCGCCTTTGAAGAACACTAGAACTTGAACTTTTCTAGAACACCTTCGAGGTGTTTAATCTCGTAGCATTAAGTAAAAATAATTGAATGGACATGATTTTATAGAATTTACTCCAGACTAAAACGTAATAGCAGAGAATCAAAACCGTCCAAGAGTGCTCGTGCGCTGCGTAGATCACGCGAGTCCATACCCTGTGGGAGACCCTCGGGAGTCTCTTGAGCTTTTCATCCAATCCAGCCCTTTTTTTTCTTCGCTTTTTCCCTTCACTTCCGGCTTATCATCGCTAACACCTGCTCCCCTCTCCACCACTCTCTCCGACCTCGCCTCTCTCCTCTTCTCTCCCTCTCTCCCCTTTTTCCCCATGTTATCGTCTACCTTGTAATTTCCCTTGTATTTTTTTCCTTCCCTTTAGACGCCGTGGGTCTTCTTGAGTCAACCCATCCGTTCTCAATGATCGGTTATGGCGTTCAACTTCAACTGGTCGCCGCTGATGGCGGACGCGAGTTTCTATACTCGCGCCCAAGATCTCTTAACTGCCGCTTTGAATAAATCGCCGAAACCCCCGATCATCGTCGACGATATTATCGTAACCGAGCTTAACTTGGGTTCCATTCCGCCGGATCTGGAGATATTAGAGATTGGTGACTTGGCGGAGGATCGATTTCGAGGCATCTTCAAGATGTCTTACACTGGCGATGCTTTCCTGACTTTGAAAACGCGCGTTCAAGCGAACCCTCTCAATACCTATCTTCTCACACGACCCTCGTTTGCCTCGCCACTACCTTTGGCTGCAGCGTAAGTAATACTTCTGTCGCACTCCTTGGTCGATGTCGCTCACCAGTCGTGCCTGATACTGCAGAACTCCCCTCACAATTCCCCTCCAAATTACACTATCCGATTTCAAATTGTCCGGCTTCGTGATTCTCGTCTTCTCGAAACAGAAAGGAATCACCGTGGTTTTCCGAAATGATCCGCTTGAATCGCTTAAAGTTTCATCTACGTTCGATTCGATCCCGTTCGTCCGCGACTTTTTACAGAGAGAAATAGAGGCTCAGCTGCGCATTTTATTCATGGATGAACTGCCCGCCATCATTCATCGACTATCCCTGCGACTGTGGGTTCCTGAGTACCGGGCGGGTGAAGATATAGACACTCAGGCCGACCAGACGGCGGGTGAAGGTCCTGGTCAAGACCCGCTGGCAAGCCCTCCTCAGGACCCAGTAGATTCATTGGGCAACGCCTTGGATGAATCGGAAATCGCATCGCTCTCCCTGGATTCCTCCGTCGAAGCGCATTCCCTGTTCTCACAGAAGAACCTTCTCCGGCTGGCTGCACTTACGGATTCTCAGCGAACGCTATCTCTTTTCACTCCCTCCATCCAGGAAGTAGTTTATCGGGCGTGGACTTCGCCTTCTGAACAGGGTGATAATGTCAATACTACGTCTCCGCTAAGCCCCATGCTCTCCAGGACCCATTCCCAGGTTGGCAGCATGTCGTCCTTCCAGGATAGCGCTAGCATCGTGTCATCCCAGAGTCGATCTTCAGCTTCGACACATACCTTTAGTGGCTATGGTTTGAATTTGGGAGCTGGTCGCCATTCGAAAGCACATTCAAGGAAGCGCAAGAAGCGCGTGGTGGATCTACGACGTCCGAAGACTACGAGTGATACGGCGAGTGTGAGCGACGAAAGTGCATATACAGAGACCGCTAGCAACCCGTCCGTATGCTCGGCACCCCTGCCCGTGGTCAACGAACAACCTGACCCCATCACGCCACCCTTGTCCCCGGAAAGCGATTTCGTCTTCCTGTAATTCCCGAGCGGCGTCGCGCCAGTCTCTCGCGGCCATTACCTCGTCGCGATATCGCCACAGAGATGCTCCGCGAAGCTGGAGGGCCCTCCGCAGAGCCTCCACGACACCGCCCTGAACCTGGAGATGTTGATGCAACTCCCCGAGGCAGTATCCGCGCTCACATTGCCGCCCGACGAGACAATGAGAAACAGGAGACCGTTCCCACACGCCAGCTGCCCTCGACTATCCTCCCATTCACCAACGAGAAGTCCAGCCCCAGTACTGTTGATCAAGCTCTGGTTGAGCGACTAGCAGGGGAAATTGCTCGTCGCATGCGGGACGAGAAGCTGATGCCCACTAGTTCTTGTGGGGGTGCCTTCTGGGGCCGTCCTGACCATGAAGAATATCCCCCGCCAGCTTATGGTCAATGAACCATGTACGCCGAAACGCATCTTGATTGCTTTCAAGAGCACCTCACATTCATTCCACTTTCCTTTGTTCCCCAGCGAGTCTGGCGATATTAATGACTGATACGACATAACTTTTAATTTGGCAGCCTGTCTTGTACTTTTTGTGTTTGTGTTATATATTATTCCTGTTTCCTCTCTTTGGAGCGAGTTTAGATAGTTTGTTTGTACCAAAAGTGCTGGCGTTTCTGTTATCTTTGTGAGAGTTACCTATCTGCTTGTCTGTGCGGTATACCACTTCGCTCTTTCTGTATTGTATTCTACATGTGGGTTTGGACTGGATCTGGGTATGGATTGGGAAGTGGGTCAAAAGAGTTATCTGGCTTTTCTTGCATCTTGATTTTCTTTGCTTTGAGTATACTGCGTCTGCACAGAATGTTTTCCCTTGAGTTGGCAGTTTGATTGAAATGCGAATTTGCGCCCGAAGATTCCAAGATTGAGCTCATTACCTGATCCGTAAAGTAGACTAGGCTGGATTGGGGCGGCGTTGGCCTTATCTCTCAGGTTGGCGGTCATTTAAATGTCAAAAATGCCCAGAGTTCGGCTCCACAGACTAAGTGAGGTTCGCTCCGATCGCTGTTGCGACGAACGTCAATTCGAGCCGACAACCTTCCCGTTCCCTTTCTGCCTCCTTCTCCGCCACGTCGCCATCTTCTTGACAGCCCCGAACCCGCCAGTGCTCACCCCTTCTCCCTTCTCTACATCATGGCGGGCATGTTCAAGAACATGTTTGGCGGCTCCCAGCCGTCGGGGTCAGCAAAGGTTGAGGATGGTAAGTCTTGATGTAATCGAACTGGGTTGGGGTATTGATTGCCCCTATTGGGGCTGGACCGTTGACTGACCGTTTGTCGTCCTGCCAATCAGACTTTGCGGACTTTGTGAAAGCACCAGAGCCTTCTCCTGCCTCGATCATAGCAGCTGTGTCCTCTGGCGTTCCTGCGTCGAGTACCCCGGGTGTCAGCGCCGTTCCGTATACGAAATGGTACCGAGTCTGGGAGCGGACGTCCCCCAAGGACTTTCTCCAGGAGGCAATGGTGATGCCATTCATCCTGATCATTGTAGTCTTTCACCTCTGGGGCACGCGGAAGAACCGCCGCAAGGCTCGGGAATGGGCCCAGGCTCATGCGCCCTCGCTCCAGAATGAGTTCGCGGTCGTCGGTTTCGATGGCATCCAAAAGTCCGAGGATGAGGCTGCCGCGGTGCTGTCCTCCCCCGATTCGATCCTGAAGGAGAAGGGTCCCCAGGAATTCATCTCCTACGCTACTGGCCGCCAGAACGTGGCCTTTGTTGACGTCGCCATCAAGTTGCCTAAGCGCTACAACCCGATCACCTACTGGATGGACGTTGTTTGCGGCTTCTTGTTCGAGAGCTGGACTAGCCCCACCGAGACCTACGAGGCCATTGCGTACACTTTCGATGGCAAGGAGAAGGACGTTGTTCCGGTCCCGGCTAAGGATACCTCTTCTCTCAAGGTGAACAACTCGACCTACGATGGATTTATCTGGGCCATTGTGCACAAGAACTACATGCGTCAGTTCCGTCAGGACCGCTACGATGCTTCTATGACTTTCACCAAGGAGAACCCGAAGCTCCCACCTTGGGTGACCGTCATGACGGAAAGTGCCGAGATTACCGAAACGCTGCTCACCCCGGAATTGATCCAGGCCGTTGAGAAGGCCGGCGATGATTTCAAGTATCTTATTGTCTCTGACCAGCCTGTCGATAAGCCTTTGAAGTGAGTTACTTGAACAAACACCCTTGCGATTTATCTGACCTCGTGCAATAGGATCGAGGAGGCCGTCCCTCGCAAACGTGTTCATATCTGCTTGACCCTTCCCTCATCCGCTTCTGGCTACGCTTCTTCCATTCCGCTATTCAACCAATTTCTTCGTTTCGCCGACAGACTCGTCGCCGTGGCTCACTTCCGCGCCGAGGTGATGCGTAAGGTCCGCCACTCGCGTGAGGAGGAGATCAAGAAGCTCCGTCGTGCGGACGAGGAGGAGAAGGCCGAGGAACGCAAGCTAGCAGCGGAAAAGATCAAGAAGGAGGAGCGGGAGCGCATCCTGCGTGGCATGAACGCTGAGGAGCAGCGGAAGTTCCTTGAGCGTGAGCGGGAGCGGGGCCAGAAGCGCTCCATGAAGAAGTATACCAAGAGAGGGTAATCTCCCACGGCGGGAGATGGGAAGGGAGATGGAACAATTGGAGAAAAGTGATCGATTGGATCTCTGTTGCTATAGTTTCATAACTTCGTGTACCATGTATTCGTACTTAATTCTTATGAGGTGCTGAGAGATGAAGGAAATTGGACGTTAATAGCTTTACTGTGATGATACAACTTTGGACAGATACTATTTTCCGAGTTCTCCGTCTCCAAGTCGACCGCACCCCCGTGTATTGATGCCCAACCCTTCCCACGAGAGCACAGGGATGAGTCTAGAGCGAAAGGGATATTGCTTGTAAGCTGCCACCCCATACCTCGGCTATCGGACTGTCCTCACAGCCTGGTTCTAGACGCAAGTGGGGATTCCATTGCTCGTCTATCAGGTGGTGTATTCCCTCCTTGCGACATACCCCTGCGGGCTCGAGTGTCTCAGAATGATACTTTCAGGTACCATCGAGGCGCTGGCTGCCATGGAGATATGCCCCTTCCACGTTGGGTTCAATAGCGTTCTGTTTTACTTCGGCAATGCGTCCCATGCAACTGTCCGACGGCCAGCACACCAGCTGCTTCGCACACCTGTGCTTGGATATCGCGAGATCCGAGAGTCGCCTCCGTTCGTTCTTTCTTTCTTTGTTTTCTATAAATACGTATGCCCTGGTAGCCAATGGGTTATTCGTCGCGTCAAAGCGAGCATCTAACGACAGGGATAGTGGCGTTATATCAACAAGGTTCGGCTCACTCGTTCTGGCTGCAAGCCCACTCAGTCCCCCTTGCATGGAGAGTAAATATACGCACCGGAGGATTACCACCGCCTACAGCTGTCGACCGATCTGAAAGCTCAATTTCCGAGCCCTGGCCAATGAGCTGGTTGTTTGGTGCATCGACAGGTATCATGTGAAGTCAATGCTCACTCTATACCAGGCCGACTCGCTTCTGGAGAGATAAATACTGGAATATATCAAAGATTTGCTTCTGCGAGCTGGTTCTTTTTCATAAAAATGTGTAACCTTGTCTAGAGCGCCACCAGGATACTCACCATTGTTGTTTTGGGCGGATATCATGAGTCTTTGCTTGGTCCCAGATGAACTAGACTATTTAAGCAACATCGACTGACTGCTTTCCTGCCTCTTCTTGCACAACAATCACTTGCCTTCGCTTCGTATATATCCTTTCTCTCTCGTTTATCTTCGCTGTCCATTTTGCACCAGTATTCTCGGTCATTGCAGTGATTACTCTCACTATACACTCCTTTTACACCCCATCAGTCTTCCGCACATATATACAAGATGTATAAATTCTTCACTCTTTCTCTTCTTATGACTCTTACCCCTCATGCCCTGTGCGCACCTTTGGATAACGCCGTTGCCACCGTCCCTACCGGCCAGGTCATCAGGCGCTGCACCACCCCGAACACCGTTGCCCTAACCTTCGATGACGGCCCATCCGGCTACACCCCGCAACTGCTGGACCTGCTGGACGAGTACGGCGCCAAGGCCACCTTTTTCATGGTCGGAGAAGGCAGCCAGGAATATCCCGATATCATCAGGCGTATGAGGAGCGAAGGCCACCAGGTCGGATCACACACGTACGTACCCCGCTGGCGCGCCCAGGCTCTTGTTCGGAAGAGAACTGACCCCCGGCAGGTTGGACCATGCCAACCTCCCATCCCTGAGCTACGAGCAGATCGTGCAACAGATGACGAGCCTTGAGGGCGTGCTGCAGTCGGCTATGGGAGATATTCCCACCTACATGCGGCCGCCGTATTTCGAGGTCAATGAACAGGTCCTTGCGGTTATGCGCCAATTGGGCTACAAGGTTGTTGAATCTAGTATCGATACTAAGGACTACGAGAATGATGATCCCACACGGATCGACATCAGCTATGAGAAGTTCGTTAACGAGTTGAATGCCGGCGGCACCATCGTGCTGGCCCACGATATCCATGAGCAGACCGTGGTGAATCTCGCTCAGCGCATGCTGGAGGAGATCAGCGCGAGAGGGTTCAGGAGTATGCCTTCCCTTTTCCTTTCCTCTCTGTGAAAATGGCAGAAAGCTAACAGACACAGTGACTACTGTCGGTGAATGCCTGGGTGAGGCCGAAGCGCAGTGGTACCGTCGGGGTCGCTAGGGCTTGACCTATGATAGGGTTTGACGTTTGGATGTCTGCGTTCTTTTCTTTTGCTGGTATAGCGTTATAGCAGTATAGCGGTGTTTCTTATTACTTTCGGACTAACCTTGACAATCGAATCTATATTATTGACAGTTTTGGATTGGAACCCCTGGTCCATGGTAGAGAGTGCTACGTGGAATCTGAGATCAGCAGCTTGCGACTTCATCACTTGGCACAAAGTTAAAGACAGCCAAGAACGCCTGGCCACTTGTAAGAAGTACTTCATCGACAATCTGACAGTTCGTATCCTCTGGTTGCCGGTTACACCAGGTGATGAACCATGGATGATAGCAGTTCGTACTATTTACCATACGACAACACTCCACAGTCAACTCTTCCATTTCCCCGATCTCGGTCCGGCCCGAACTTACTTCAAGAGATCAAATAAATTTCATCCCAATTCCAATCCGTCCTGACTTCACCGACACGTCACCAGTCATGCACCTCTGGTCACTGTAACCATCCTCCACGAAAGGAATTCTCTTCCATCCTGGTCCTTCTAAACCGGACCGGAGGATTCAAACACGGTACCTGAGAGAGGGGAAGTGCGGATTCAGTACCTAAATACCCACTGTAAGTCTAATATCCATCACAATATATATCCATACCTTCGAAAGAAGAAAAACCAGAATAAGAGAATTATTAATTAATTAATAGACCAAGACATTCATTCATTCCTTCATTCATAACAGCCAAGAAAACACACACACCTAAACAAAGAAAATATACATACTACTCTTCCATCCAATCAACCAAGTCAATATCAGTGGGAGTGGAGTGGAGTGGAGTGTAGTGAAGCGGAGGTTTTATATCAAGGTAACACAGCATCATCATCACCTCCGTAGCCATAGAGGGGCTTGTTATAATAAGGCCCAACCGCGAGACGAGACGGTATACGGTGTACACAGTTTGTTTAGCTCAGGTACGTATGTACTTATCTATGTTTTTTTTATAGTCGTGTTTGTTTACCCTGTGTTTGCTTATTGGATGTTTACTGTAGGGTTTTTTCGAGGAGATACTATATCATATACTATCAATCAGGTTAAACCAAACCATATCCAACCAAACAGAGAAGCAGGAAAAGAAAAAAAA